CAAATACCGTACACCCCCCCCCCCCCCGGTCTATACATTCTTGGGCGTGGCCCTGCTGCTGAAGCACCGACGGTTCAGGCCGTTCAACAGCCTCTGCGCGACCATGGCTCTGATGCATCGGGATGTCGTCGAGTTCCCCGTTGGCCATGGCAGTCCCGGCCAACGCCCGCTTGTCCTCCAATTCTTCAACCTGCCATGGATCCGAGGGCCTGTCAGCTTTCGCAAGAGATCTCTGCTCGCCACGTCTTGCATTGGCACCTGACATCTCCATTCCTTCGAAGGGGCTCCGCCGCCCCTGTGTATGGCTGCGCGCTTCTGGAGTCAGCCTTGTTACCATCCAGGTGCCAGACGGAATGGAACAGACAGAATGTGCTTGAACCTACAAAAAGTCAGTGCACCTGCTGCGCCGGCTCACCTCGAAGATATGCCCGAGTGTAGAGCTGACAAGATGTTCATTGAATGCTGAGTCGGCAGCTTCGTGACCTCAGTCACTGTGGTTCTTCCATGCTGACAAGAGTCTGCAGGATTCTGCACGACATGAGTACGTTTTTGTAGGCGGCCGGCTGTGGGTCCCGAAGTAGCCATGGGTTGGGCTCTCTCGGTGGAGGAGGGTTGATGGGAGCATAGCCCAAGCCCTGGTTGGCATGTGACGGACTTGTGCTTCAATTTGCCCTGGCTGTCCCTGGCAGAGAAGGCCTCTCGGATCTCTCGCCTTGCACGACCATCCTTGCCTCAAGAGAGCACTTCAGCAGTGCAAGGTCTCAGAAAGTGATGAGGTCAGAGGATGCTGCCGACAATCTCGCCATCAATGCTTTTGGCCACAACAATGCCCTCGATGTGCGCACGATCAGTCTTGGACATAAAGTCCTGGCAACTATCACAGAAGGTCCTGTCTCCACAGCGAACATTACTTTTGCCGTGGCCTGTATCGCTTGGATACGTGAGATGATGGGCCCAGCAATCAGCAGCATGGCTTCTCCCTTTGTGCAGCGTGGGTGGACGGACGAAATAACTACTGCATGGCAGTGCTGTCAACTGAGCTCCACGCATCGCATGCAGGGCCAGGCTCCCTCTCAACAACGCAACTGCTGTATGCTGCAGCAACCTGGCGGACACGCGACAAATCACGAAGCTTGCCCTTCGGCCTGAGCCGGCCTGATCCATGATTGGCGGCACAGCAAGAACCTGTGCCGACTTGGCAGCCAATGACTCATTTTGCGGTCAGAGGCTGAGCCGCCAACTTCAGGCACAATGATGCGCGTCTCTCTCGGCGCATTGCCAGGCATGCTGTCTGCAGTTCGCAACACAACCTGCGATCAACAAGCATCACCCGTGATGACAAGCTGAATTATCCCTGCATAAGCTAGCATACACAGCATTTCTCGGTGCTGCTAACTGCTGGGGTCACTGCCTGGATTCCCTCCAGCTTACGCTCCAGGCGCCCTTTGCACAAGGGCAGCGGAGGGACCCACGTCTTCTGCAGTCATGCTGAGTCAGCTGCCGCAAACCTCGATGAGCCGATCCCCCGGCTTTAGCAAAGGAGTAGGCTCATCCTCACAAGCTGTGAGAACACAAGAGCAGACTTTCCTTATGATGTGTTCTCATCTCAGTCTCATACTTTTCGTACAATGTGTGTTCGTGCACACAGTGGGGTACTCTTCACGGCTTTTGCCTCAAACAAGCCCGACAAACCGAAGGCGCATCCCAGGATCCACGAACCACATCCCAAAATATATAGGGCACAGTGGCGAGAAGTCGATGCAGACACCGACATACGCACGGTACTGTGGCGGGTGCAGCATGTCGACTTTCGCCAAACAGGGAATGGTGGGATTTCGAGATGAGGAGCCCGGGGGAGCTCATAGTGCGGCCCTGCCAGGACTTTAGAGCTTTCGAAGGCCAACATGAAAGCACGATTTCTAGCCGAAACACCCTAAAACAAGCACGGCACCGTGGTGGGAGTGCGAAGCACCATAGTATTGGTTTTCTCAAAGGATTCGGTACCCACCCGCGGCGGACTCGGCCGCTGTGGGATGTGAAAAGAACGCGCATGAAGTCGAAACTGTGGATTGCACAGCGGAACCGCCGGGTGCACCCTGCTGCGTGCGCCTCGCGCCTTCAGCAAGCCCATCCGTTTTCTGTATATATACATACCGCAATTAACCATCAGAATCCCCTAGTGACACGGTGTTGTCAAACCGTTGGGTGAGCGACCTGCAATCCTCACAAGTCAGCAAGGAGGGCACCTCGCGTATGACGTGAAGAAAAGCGCCGCTGTTCTCTTGCATCTCCCGGATGGTCCGGCCGCCTTTGCCGATGAGCCATCCTGCTGGAAGCTGGGCCCGGCCGGGTTTTCTGAAAGAATTGCAGGCTACTTGATGTCATCTGATGTCGGGAAAAAAGCAACTTTGCTTTATAGTTTGCTATCAGTGGGGAGTCTGCCTCGCTTCTTTACCTTACTCAGGACCGGTGCTCAATGTCGCTCCATCTCCTAACTTTTTTGCAGGGTCTCTTTTCTCCGCTGCTTCCTCACGCAAGTCCTCACCTTTCAGGCCATATTCCGACGCAGCTGCAGCATAGGAGATGTATTCATTACGCACGTCGTTAAGAAGATGTCTCCGAGGGCGCTTCGCAGCAGAACCAAAACCACCACCCCCAGAGGTCTCGACAAGGAAAGTATTCTTCGTGGTTGCGGATCCTGTCCTGCAGGAGAGCACCGTGCCTGAATGGCCACCATCCCTTCCCGCGGGCCCATCACCAGCACGCGCCTGCGTACACCTGAAAGACATTGAGCCAGGCCCAGAAACCTCCACCCGTACCCCCAAGCCGCCACGAAAGCACCCTGCACCACCAGAATCCTGTATAAGCATCTTGCGTTTGAAGAGAATTCCAGACTGCTCCATCACTTCTATAGGTGTGGTTTTGAAGCCGCTCGGAAAGATAGTCGAACTAAGACCATCTTGATCTATGTGTGCACCTGTTCCACCCGCCTCAATGTGGATACCTGGGCTCTGACCTGGTTCTCTCCATTCCAAGCAGCATAGGCTTGCAGAGCTTTCAGCAGGAGGGCAAATGCATTCTTGTGCTACTCTGAAACATCCATAAATCAAGTCTGGCAGGAAGTAGGCAAGTGTAGATGTATCTGCATGCTGCTGTAGTCGCGGCATGTCCAGCAAACATCCGGGTACAATGTTCACTCTGAAAACGCTCAAGGACCCGTGGTTGGCTGGCACGCCCTGCCC